AGAGCGGTGCTCGTGTGAGGACGTTTCTGGCGCTAGCTTTGTCGTTGCTGTGAATTTTCCACGTTGCCGGATGGTTTTGACGTCGGGCATTAACTACGCGGGTGCGAGTGTATTAAGAGAGACCTTCTACTGGCAGATGTGAAAAGACTGTCACACACACCAGTGATTTTCAAGAGAAACAAAAGGAGCTGAGCTGGATGGACAAGAATGCTCAATTCGGTTGAAACATCCTTGAAAATGTTGGTGGGAATGGCTGATGAAAGAAACCAATTTGGAGAAATACAAAAGGTTGTGTGAAGTTCTCGAAAACCTTTATTGCTTGGGAGGTGAAGGAGAAGAATCCCGCTTTGGAGGTGCTCTGCGTTGTCGGGGGTGTAAATGAAGTAATACGTTTCGCAGCCCAGCTTTTGGGGGCTTACGTGTTCGTTTGTAGATTGGAGAAGCAGGGGAAGCGTAAAGCAATTAAAAACTCATAAAATTTTCTTCTGTGGGCAATTATTTGGAAAAGAAAAGAGAAGAAAAGCACTGTATAGTAAAGCTACTTAATCTGCCTCTAAGAAGACTGGCGAATTAGTAGACGTCTGATATCGCATTTGTTGAGATAGAGCTGTCTTGAAGCAGTGTAGCATGAACCCAGCAAGTCTTATTATTATATGAGCATTGGGCTCCTTGTTTTATATAATGTTATCAATCAACTGCAGCAGTAGTTGCTAACTACAAGCTATTTCTCTTTGTAAACTTGCTAAGCATTTTTTTTTTTCCAGCCAGCTTGCTAATTACTTTTTAACATAGATCATTAGATTTTGGAACAGTTTTTTTAATCAGAAACAGATATTAAAAATCCTTTTTTTTTTTTCTTCCACTTCACTACTTGTTATGTGAACAAGGAAGTCTGTCTTTAAAACTAATCTGTTTTTGTGGGTGTTGATGTGCCAATACATGTTTTTATGTAACCAGTGAGCGTTTTTCATCCTTTTCGCGACCGACTTGTAAATAGAAGAAACTGCCAATCTGGCATCTCTCTACTTAAAACCAAAGTTAAGAAATGAATGGGAGTATTGGTCAGTTATAGAAACCCTTTTGTGCGTGTTTCAGTCACGTTGCTTTTTGTGCATCTTAACCAGACAGATCAGTGAAACAGAACCTGTGCTTTTTTGAGTTACTAGGAGTCAGTCGTCTACGCTTATTGCAGAAATACATGTTAATTATCCTACTGAGTTAAAGGATGGAAAAACTAAGATAAACATATGCCACCTGACTTTTACTGACTAAAGATTTCCCCAGCGTAAGGAAGAGAGTTGCATCACACTCTTCTTTTCGGTACTTGCATGTTACTTTAGGCATATAGTGTTAAACAGTAATTTTTAAAAGAAATTGGTTTCATGATTTGTAAAATATTACGTAGCCATTTTTTCCTTCGGTGCCCTACTTTTAGGTGACAACCTGTGGGCGAGCACTGCACGTGGCTGAGCACTTCTCTGACCTCAGTGTAACTGCGGCGGTGTCAGGGGAACACGCCGTTTAGATTCGGAGACCGAAATCCTCGAAATCTCACCTTGCAACCAGCCGTTCCCTGACCCGTGCAGGCTTTGCCGAACAACCTCATCGATGTGATTCCGTTGCAAAATGTTTGCTAAACATAGCTGACGTTTTAAAAACGTTGAGAAATTTAAAAACAAATCTTCATGGGCTGTATTGTCTGTGTTCGTTTGTTTTTAATAACCAGTTCTTATGTGTGTTTGTTGATGCAGGCCACAGAAACATTGTTTCGAATGGCAGTCTCAAGAGGAGCTGTTACGCCTTTAAGACACGGAGAAGTAAGGCTAAATATATTTTTTGCACATGTCGTACAAAGCTTTATTAACATAATACTTTATAAATTCCTGGGAGGCTTGTTGTCTTCAGGTAAGTAAAGAGGGCTGGACTGTGTGTAGCTTGTATTCCTACGTTGTAGCGGTTTTTCTTTTTAATAAGAGAATAGAGAATGTAAATCCTATCCAATGGGAGAGTAAATACTCTTCACAAATACTCTGATTTTCTCTTTGCCTGAATCATAATTCAGCCTTGTAATATACGTGACTTAGAAGAGTATCTTTTATCCAGGTACTTTTTCCACTCGATTTTCTACGTCAAAAATTGTAAAAGCTGTAGAAATTCACACAAGGCTGAGCTTTGTTATTGGGTAGGCATAGACAGGTTTCTTCACCCTTTCTGCTTGTTCCTCTCAAGAAGTCAGTGATCTCCTGTGGGATTTGAAGTTTTAATGCATCAATTATTTTAAAGAAGAGATGAATAAATTTGAATGTTATGTTGCTCATGCAGATAGCGAGTGTTTGGTTCCTTCTTTTGTGTTGTTTTATATCACGTAAACATTATTCTGAACACTACCAATTAAATGCCTCCAATATTAGGGGAATCAATTTATGCTTAGGTTGTGTTTCATTCAAAAACAAAAGGCTACCGTGAGTCATGACGCTATGGAAAAGAACTGATCTGGACACTGGCACTGCTGGAATCTACAATATCTAGGGGTTTTAGTGTAGAAACTTCAGTGTTTTTTCATGGCAATCTGATTTGGATCAAATTCTTAGATAACTTTGTGAAAAGTTTATATAGTAGACACAGCATTAAGTCTGGAATCTAGACTGAGCACGCTAGCCTGGAATCTCAGCTATGCTGTAAAACGTTCCTTATGCTGATGAAATTGCCTTAATTTCCCCCCTTTTGAAATGAAGTAGCATGTCTTTGTATTTTTTAAAAAGCTGTTGTTTCAGTTCTGCCACTGTCTGAGGCATATGATGTGAGATCTCCTACCTTGCTGTTGTCTGTAGTTTTACCTTTTCTGGATATGAATCCGTTTATACTTTCTATGTATTGCTCTTCATTCTTTTCTACAGCAGCGTTTAATGCAGTTTCCAGTTGTGATAATTATGAAATATAGGGTAGCCCTACCATATTCCCTCTGTTTAGGTTTTTCAATCAAGGATACTTAATTTTCTCTGTTTTAATAAGCACATTGCCCAGAGAGGAGGTAGGATCTCCATCCTTAAAGATACTTGGCGTTATACACGTGAATTATGGAAAAATCAAATGTTTTTTTTTCAATGCTAATAATGGTGTCATGCAATGTAAAATACTGATACAATCAGAGGAATAATACCACCTTTTGTGAGCAATATGTTGATAACTACTGTGCATCTGATGCATCTTGTGTTGAGTGAGTTCAGCTCACAGAAATGGTAGAAAATATTTCACTTTTTTATTCAGACATTGTTCTGTTCTTTTATCAAGTTAAACTGCCTCAAGGCTAGAGAGAACAAGAGAAACAGCAAGATAAGTGGTGAGAGGATGTAGCCGTGATCAGGCAGGAAGGAACTGGGTGAAAGTACCACCTCCCATATTTGATGATGGCGAACTGTTATGTTGGCTTGCTGGATCTTGTGACACTGTATCCTGAGTATTTTGGTCTGAAGATAAATGCTGTTATCGCTAAGTTAGATAATTTAGTGCTAAGAGAGACAAAGCATGTAAGTATGTGAGGTTATCCTTCCTTTATTGCAAGGCAATGGGAGAAATAAGAAGACTTTTTTTTTTTTTTTTTTTAATTCCAAATCAGGCTATATGCCGGGAAGGGAGAGAATTATCGTGATGACTCAAGGAAGATGTTTTCAGTAAATTCCATTGTGGAATTATATTTTATTCAATCTGAAAATGAGGAATGACATTAATAAAATGAAATTAATTTTTCCAGAAGAAACATAATTACCAAGAGTCATAAATTTTTTTTCTTCTTCCAAGAAATTGCAGAATGTTTGCACAGTGTGTAAGCAGAAAGTGAGCCAGAAAAAAAGTTGAATATGAACTGAAGTTTGAGTTGACTCTGTTCTGTTTGAGAAGTGCGAAGTTGGCAGTGAAATTCAAAGCAGAGCAACTTGTTTATTGGAAATTCCAAACTAAGGAGGCAGCAGTCCAAATGTGCAGAAATGCTGTTGGGCTTTCATAACAATATTTAAAATGTAACCTCATTTAACGTTTAGGAAGGGGTAAAACCATTCAAAACAAGAAAGAAAAATTAATGAAAATACTTATATATATTATATAAAGTTATTTACATTTTATTAATCTATCTTCACTGCTGAACAGATCAACGGACAAACATTTCTTCTGTGCAGACGAAACGGTGCATGAAGGACTACCATAACCCTGTTCACGTCACCAGGTGTATTTATAATTTATGATATTGAATGTCTAAGGGAAATCTTTTGTTCTCCTGCTTCCAGTTTTTCCTCATTTCTTTGGATTCATCTTCTCAAGTCTTCATGCGTGCAGAATTTTTAAATCTTTCCTTTGTTATCATTGAAGATACTTAAAAAAAAAGTGTGGTTACACTGGTGGTTACACTATTTGAATTTAACATATGGCTTGTAAATTTACTATTAAGAATTTAGAAAATTATGCTGCCTACAGGAATTATCAAATTTGGATACATAATGTTAATAATTATTTAACTGCAGGATATGGAACATAAAGGTTCCTGAAGAATTTTCTCAACGATTGCCTTGCCTCTGCTTTGATTTAACTGTGCCAGCATCCATGGGAAGTAATCAGATCCAGAGGTGTAATTCATTTCCAGGTTTTAATATGTTCTTTTTCTTGTCTGTTTATTATTTTTGTCAGTTTTTTGGGGGGATGGAGACTGAGGCAGAGCTATATTGAATTTATTCCTTTATGTTAGTACTTCTTGCTCTTTCCAAGAGGATCCAAAAATTGTACGAGCAGATGCGATCACAGCAAATCTGTGGCTGCACTTTTGTACAGAAGTTTTAGGGCGCATTTCATTAACTTAACAAAGTTTAGAGTCAGAGCAATAGCCATAGCAGAGAGGTTTGCGTTCATGGTGCCTACACCTGAAACCACCAAGAAACCTTCTCCAGCTGTTTCTCTTTGTGCAGCAGGCTAAGATCTGCCACCATCTGTTCCTCCAGCCTCTGCTGGACAGTGAGAGTTGCCCCCTTCTTGGGCTGTGGCTGGGCTGGCCGCAGTGGTAGACTTAGAGTTGTGGGAAACTCGAGCGACTGCAACCTGCCTACTGGAGAGGATGAGAAAGGGAGGTTGGTGCTTCCTTAATGGTCCCAGTCTGCTCCTCGGTTCTGTGTCCCCTAGAACGTCGGCTGCGGTGAGCTCAGCCACCTCCAGGGAGGCAGCCAGAGGCAGAGTAAAGATTGGCAGCGGTGGTTATGAGAAGGCTATTAGAAGCGTGATAGCCAGGGGCTAAGCTGATATTCTGTGGCTGCACATAGAGAGAGACTTCTTCAGTAATTTGTAATTGGAAGCGACCAGTTTTATTCGCATGGCGCAACAAAGCAGTGATTTGCTGAAGAGAAGGAAGTGTGTTGTAACAATTAAGATTTGTGCATAGTGTGGAGGTACTGCATAAGGAGGAGGGCACTGATGACGACAGCTAGCTTGCAGGACTGATGATGTTCTGTCAGCAATCTCAGTAGAGGAGGAAGATAAAAATGCACACGACCCATCCAAAGAAGGAGCAAGACTTCAGAGAGGGTGAAACCCTTTGTGGAGAAAATCCTGTTAAGTTACGTAGACTCACATGGACTGCAGAGATAATGGAGCAGACAGAGTTCTCAGGGAGCTAGATATGATAACAGCCCTGCAGCTCTGGCTGCGAATGAATGCAAATTATGAATTTGCAAATTATCTTATCTCTTCTCATCCAAAAAATTTTGGGGCCTCAGGGTGGAAGAATCTAGGCTAGTATCTTTATAGTTCTTTATGTCCATCAGAGCAAAGCATCGCTGCCTCAGAACTGAAGAGGAAAAGGGCCCCAGAAGTTGTGGTCTTGCATCTGCGGTGTTATGGCATACGGGGAACTTCCAATATGATAGAACTTTAAAATCTTTGTGTGGTGTCTTGTGGCGGGAAATTTAGTTTTGCAGGAGAAAAATTTGCATGGGAGTGTCAGAGGAAAAAAAAAAAAAAAGTTTGAGGGCTCCATTTCTGCAACAGCTGAGATGTGACCTTTTGAAGAAAAGTGGCAAAGAAACTGAATCTCCAGTCTTGTAGCCTTATTGGAGAATGTCATTAATGTAGGGAATGTGTTTTGTTTGGCAGTTATGCAAAGGCCGTTGACTGTATTGTGCATGTGGGAAACAAAACATAAAAAGGAATTTCCAGGCTGTGGCCATAAGTTTCCAAGAGGTCCAGTTCCCATTAGCGGTTAGATTAAGCCGTGGTGCCTGAAGAGGGAAATATGCAAAGGTCTCTGAGGCTCTGACGAAAGTAGCAATATACAAAACAAGAGGAGGCTGAATAGGGTGTCTGCTCCCTACTTCCCAAGCCATTTATTTCTTGATGAATTAGTGAACAGCCACCAAGTACAGTATATGTTGATTTGCTCATTCCGATTCCTACTTCCTTTCAGAATTATCACTTACACTGTCCATAGGGAAAGAATAAGTGAAGTCCAAGAAGTGCCCACCTATATATGTGTGTAGCCTTTCTATCCTGGAGGTATACCAGCAATGCAGCTTAAGGGGAGTTGTCAAACCCGTGCCGGTTCTCATAGCTTGAGAGACTGGAGCATTCTGAGTGATAAAAACACCAGTCAACTAAAATTGAACTGTAAATATACATAGAAATATAGAGTAATTATTGTACTTTACACCCTAAAAGAATTTATGATCTTACAATGCAAGCCCTTTCCTAAGAACTGAATAAGAAATTTAATTACATGCATTGCAAATAACAATAGATATCCATGACTGGAAATGTGCTTTGTTGTAAAATGTCTCATTGCTTT